TAGACCTCACCGTCTTTAGGGGCTACGAACTATGGAGACAGATCACGTTCTTGGGCTCCAGGGGGGTCCAGCGCAGCGCGCTCCGAACTATCCAGACCTGAACGAGGCATCGCCGTCCCTGGGGCGGGCTGCAGACTGGGAAACGGTCGCAACTTTCGTGAGCTCCCGGGGGGTCAGAGCAGCGCGGTGATACTTAGACCTATGGCGGAAACGCGCTTTCCGAAGGCCTTCAAGAATTCTCTGAATTGCCATGCGAGACCTTTCTTACACAGCTCCGTACCTTCTGTGCCAGCTGAAGGCTTGAAATGACAAGTATGGGTCAGGGTTGACGGCTGGCAAGCCAAAGTCAGAAGCGTGGAGAGCTAGGGTGTTCTGAAAGTGGTGGAGAGTTCGAACCGTTTTGGGGGTGCACCGCTTGGCGCGGGTCTCCCCGTTGGTTCCCGTGGCCGCACCAGTCTCGACGACTGCGAAGCAAGCCGAAGACTTGGAGCGGCTCCGGTCCTGTTTTCGTCCCCGAGGCCCGCACAGGTGCGTGCCCGCGTTTTTGAAGGTTCCGTGAGCTCTGGCAACGGCTATGTCCGAACATAGGTCAAGTGAGAAAAAGCAGGGATATGATCCACTTCACATTTCCGAGCTGCTGCTTCGACTCCGCCGACTGGCCTAAAATGTATGATCCTGAAGTTTACAAATTGGTTGCAGTTTCACAAATGGAGGGCCGGACGCTTCCAAAATGTGGTTTGTTGCATTAGCGCCGCGCACATTTGCACACGAAAGTTAAAGAGCTTCAAGGATTGAGGGCGGGCCGTTTTCAATGATGTTTCTCGCGTTAGCGCCGCGCACATTTTTTGTCTAAGACTTGGAAGGACTTCGCAAATTAAGAACGGGCGTTTTCAAAATGTGGATATCGCTGTAACGCTGCGCACATCCGCTTTAAATATCTGCGCGAGCTTCACGGATAGAGGGCGGTTCCTTTTCAAAGTGTGATGTTCGCCGTAGTGCCGCGCATAGTTGTTTGCACATGTTGTAAGAGTTTCACGGGTTTCCGCGGTCAATGTACCAGAATTTGAGTTTAGGAGCGATTCAGGATTGTCAGGGCGTAACAGTTACGTTGACTCGCGGTGTTAAGGTCCAGGAGCGGTGTTCCGTCACGAGTCAGGATCGTCAAAACGTAACAGTCACGTTGTCGGGGCGTTGGCGTCTCGAGAAAGGTTTTTTGGCACGCTTCAGCTTCTTCAAACGGTTGCCTTTCAACAGGGCAGCACCCTCAGCGGAAACGAATCTCTGCAGGGGCCTATGATGGTAAGCACAGAGCAAACTTGAGGGTAGGACGGCTTCCCGTTTGTTACGTTCCAACATTGATGAGTCTTGGGTCTTACACTGGTCCTCTCCACTCCTTTCGTCCTTCCTCCCCTCCTCCCTCCTCCTCCCTCCTCCTCTCCCTCCCTCCTCCTCCTCCTCCTCCTCCTCCTCTCCCCCTCCTCCTCCTCCTCCTTCCTCCTTCCTCCTCCTCATCCTCCTCCTCCTCCTGCTCCTCTCCTCCCTCCTCCCTCCGCCCTCCTCCTCCTCCCCTCTTCCCTCCTACCTCCTCCCTCCTCCCTTCCTCCTCATCCTTCGTAGCCATTTAGGCTCCAGGTTTTGGCTCTCGAGAGGTTTTTTGCCAAAACCGCGAATTTCCGACGATCCCCGCCGCGACGCCCGCAAGGGCCGCCATCCGCCAGGCGCGACGCCTGCTTACTTTCCTCCCTCCTACCCCCAGCGGCCTCGCGACGAGCCCGCTCATCATCGCAGAGCGCGCAAACAGCGCGCAAACGCCCGCACACTTTTAAGAGTGCATAAAGCAGCAATGATGCTCTCTCACCACCACTCTTTCCAGGGCCTCCCGCAGCAAGGCGCTGTCCCCACGACCTTGCCCCCGCCTCGCGCGACGCCTCTCTCGCCAACGTCAGGGCTGCAGCAGCACGGTATGGCTACCTCCCCTACGCAGCGTATGGCTGCTCCTCCCTCTCCGTCCCTATATGCCACGCGCCTGCCTGCTGACTTTTTTCCTCCCCCCCAACAGCCAGTGCACCAGAAAGGCAGCGCCCCTCCCGAGCTTTGGTATTGCCTGCAGTGCGGCCGGGCCAATACCACTCTGGACGTTTCATGCCCCACCTGCTTTCCGACTCGGGCGGCAGGACCCCAGCAGGCGACACCCGGCCCCGCCAAAGGTCAGGAGCAGCACAAGCCCCTGCAAGGCGCGGGCCCCTGGCCGGGCCACAAGGGCCCACGCTCCTTTTCTGGAAGCACGGGTGGGGCACACATGGGCAAAGGCCATGCTCCGCCAAATCCGCCATCTTTCGACCAGGTGGCAGCATGGGCAGCGGAGTACGGCTTACTCCCCGCACCCCCAGGAGACCACACGGTCCAGCCAGAAGTGTTCTCCAGCAAGGAGCGCAAGAAGCGGGAGAAGGACGAGGCTCGCAGGGCCCGCGAGGCCCAGCGCAGCGAGAGGGAGCAGCCCGCCTCAAAGGCTCCTGGCACCCCACACGGCGCCAAGGACACGGGAATCATC